CCATACAGCCTCTGTTGGTCCAATATACCTTGCATCAAGGTATTGCTTTATCTCATTATTTCCATTTGGTCCCTCTAAAATCATAGTTGTATGGTCATGACCTTTGTAAATGTACTTGTGGATATATTTGTCACACCTCATTCCTGCAAAAACCTCCATGTTTATATGACAGTTGAACTTTCTTGACAGGTGTGGATTGTAAGGTATGACGTCCCGATTATCAAATGTATGCTCTCTGGTGGTGTAAGACTGACCATTACGGCGACAACGGTAAACAGTGTACCCATGTTCATCCATAGTAGTCGAATCTGCAAAGGCTTTTGGGTAATGGAACCGACATGCACCGTTCACCATACAAGTTGAATGTGGATTTCGAGAACCACATGGACCATGAACCATACAACTCTTGATTGTTTCTTAGAAAGTTGGATCAGTGGATGGATCTGGGAATTTAGCACTAACTAACTGATCCACTTGTGTTGTTGTCTGAATCTTGTCTAGACCATGAAGGAAGAATAAAGTATGCATGTGTGGTAACCCTTGTTTTTGGAACTCAATGGTGAATATATGAGCAACTTTTTAACCAAAAATTTGTTCACCTTTTACCTCATGAATCAGGGCACGCCGTTTTAACTCAAATACACAGGCAACTATGTCTGGACGATCCAAAGAGGTTTGATGTTCTAGTAAGGCAGTTGTTATTTTAGGCCATTTTGGGTTGGCCGTCATAGTGAGAAAGATGTCAGGGTGTTGGTGGTACCTTGTAATGGCCATTGAGTCATGAAAAATCTAGCTCATGTTACGTGCACTCCTCGTAAAGGACGATGGTAGAACAAAGCATTGTATGATCTAATCAAGGCCCAACTCATCAGCATTGCCATCACACAAATTCGTGTAAAGCTCCTGACACAGCTTATCCTAATTGAGTCTGATGTAAGATAACCTTTTTTGCTCCGTTGATGCCCAAGCATCTACTATAAACTCTTAAAATAACTTTCCTCCTCTAAGAATTGTTGAATACTCAGTGGGACGTGGAAATATACGATAACTGTAAAATTGCATCTGTGTAATCTTTCTTACTAAAAATCACTTTGTTCGGAGTTCCACTGATGTAGACTAGGTTCCCAACCAAGCTCACTAGTAGGGAATAAAAATACATAGTGTAATGGTAAATATGCTGGATGACACTCATTGATCTGGCTCAGTGCTCTATTATCTCCTCTTGGGTTTACAATTACTCTCACTACCATCACCAGGCAAAATCATAACTATTTCATCCGTGGTTGGATGGTTGTACCAATGCCTATCAGTTGATGAGGTGTAATGAAGATGAGCACGTAAATCATGATCTAAAGATTCTGACTCAATGAGAATTTTGTGTACACGTTTGTGCTTTGAAGCAAAACGATTTACTAACAACAAATAACTCTGTATAGTATGAAGGACATCACGACGCATGTTAGTATTTTGCGCACATCGAATATTCAATGCAGTGATTGGGTTGTATATGTACAACTGACAATAGATGGGTGCATGACCTTCCAAGGGTAACAATGACCCAATTCGATGACGTAATTCCCTATGGATAGTGAATGACCTTGGCCCTATGGAATTAAGTAATCTATCATCAAGCTTAGCACCCAAGCTCGTGAAAGCATTGGCCGCATTGTACTCCCTAATATGCCGGTGAAATGATTTTGATTGACCATCATGACCATCATACAATGCACGAATAGCAGGTAGGGGTGCAATGAGTTCTGGCAACCTAATTTTGTCTTGTAGACAACATGTTCCAAATCTTGGATTGGACAATCCTGTGCGAGTTAATCTCTCATCCTACAAATGTAAGGCCGAACAATAAGGACACTGAATATTCATCTGCCCTACAAAATGACGATCATTACTGACAGGGACAATCACATTCAATTCATCATCACTAACATACTTTCATCATCGCTAAAGGGTTCTGGTGGGGATCTACAAATTAAAATTATATGAACACAAATATGAGAAAGAAGTAAAAGAATATTAAGCACCTAATAAACTACATAGAATATACATGCCTTGTTGGATCTGTCACAACATGATACAAAATGTTGAGGGCATTGTCGTCAGTTTGATAAGGATGTGGTGCAACATTGGTGACAAATTCATAATGACCATAGTCTGTCTCTAAATTTTGAGGCGAGGGTAAAGGTTGCACAGGGATGGGTGAGACTGGATCAAGGTCAGTTGGAATGAAAATTGGATCGGACTCAATTGTAGGTGTTAGATAATGTTCCGAATGATGTGTTCGCGCCTTATGACATAAGGGATGGTGGAAATCATGACATAAGGGATGGTGGGAAGTGTAAAGAATCGATCCCTTCCTATGCAACTATCCAACAGGGGCAAGACAATACGTAAAAACCATCTATAAAATAAAAGCAGTAGAAATACTTATAAATCATAAAACATGAATCAGAAAAACTTATCAAAGAGGAAGACATATTTTCTTTTCCATTTTGTGGGCACTTAGTGGCTGTGCGACATACTTCTGACGTTGAAGGTGCAGTTTGTTTGCAGTGTTTTCCCGCCTAAATATGCATTCATTCTGACGTTGAAGATAGTTAGTTATTGTAATTTAATCCGAAAACAAACGATGGAAAAAGTAACTTTACCTTAACATTGCACAACCGATTAGGCAAATGTTCAGCAAGTATTGTAATGGGAGACGGTTGGAAATGCAAAGGGACTATACTGTACTCTGCCAATTCCATGTCAGCAAATGGAACATGGTTAGGCAGTTGGGAGAGAGACTGGTGTCGTCTATCTGAATGATTTGTTTTGAGCATACGAGTTGGTGTCAATCCTGGAAAGTATTTGGGTAGAGGCGAAGTGTAATTCCTAAAATGCTCTCTTTCCTGACGTGCGCATTGTGCCAGCTCGCACGGTGAGCACATGTCACTATCATTGCGACTTCGCTCATGTCTGGCGCGTTGGACCTCAATTTTAGAGGAAGTGTAATTTGTTGCAGGAGCCTAAGATAGGAAGTTACGTGTGAAATAAGTTAAACAATTAGTCAAATTGACCCAAAATAGTACATACAACAATTACTAAAACACCACAACACAATGATTATCCTTGGTGATGGTATGGAGTCATGTGTGCATGAGAGAGAGTTAAGTGTAAGAGCGAGAGTGAGGGGTAAGGAACTTAGATGTGTTCGAATTTATTTTAGTGGTCGGCAATTGGAGAGAGAGAAAGAGAGAGAGAGAGTTAGTAGCTTTGAACTGGAGTACACAAATGAGGTTACATTTGTTAGCAGTATGCAAATTATCCCTGACAATGTAGTGTCTATCGCTCAAACTGAAATACCAAAACATTCAGTCTAATAAAAGTGGTCGAATTAATCTCAAACAACCATGTGGTATTGATATTTGTTGTGGAAACAGACCCAACACGAGACTAGAATTTCATTGATAACACTTACATAGCCCTAAATGGTAATCTCTGTGAAACGTGTTAATGTTAACATGCCAAAGGAAATACAACGTGTAAAGTTTACGTGTTAATGGTTAAAAATTTGCAAAACTCATTAATGAATAACGAAAAAATTAATCATATCAATATACAAGTTGTTTGGCGAATTCAATAATGAATTAACCATATTCTGTAATAACGTGATACGATATGAATAATGAATTATTCCTTAAGCAAAATTGACTTATTCAAATTTAAAGATGGTTATTGCTTAATGCAAATTAAGAGCTCCATAATTTAGTGAAGAAAGATAGTAAATGCCAATTTGTTTTATGAGTAAATTAATTGCTAATACATAAACAACAATTAGTAGTTTTATACCGATTGAGTAAACAAATTTTATTTTCCAGTAGAACTGCCTGTTTTTTCTTTCCCCTTCATCAAAGATGGACCGACACGTGGGTTGTTCAAGTGATTGACATTTCCATTCGTCTATGAAGTACAAAATAAGNTTTTTCTTTCCCCTTCATCAAAGATGGACCAATACGTGGGTTGTTCAAGTGATTGACATTTCCATTCGCCTAAGAAGCACAATATAAGGCGTTCGTCAAATAATGTATGTCATTAATCAAAATAAAAATTTACAGGTATGTTGTTGTTATCAATTAGTTTAAACTATAAGAGCAACCTTAATAAATTGAACTGTAAGGGTAATGAAATTTATGAAGTGTAGGCACCATATAATTAATCTTACCGTTTCGCGAAGGTTCGGATCCATTTATAAAAAATATTGATTTGAGACTTAGATATGATAAAATAATAATTTTGATAATAACAATGACAATAGCAGGAAAGAAAATAAATACTCACATAACCAAACACGGTGAGCTCAAAAAAACCAGCATTGTGCCTACAAAGTTAGTAATATAGTTTAGGAGGATTTAACAAATCTATAAAACAAATCAAACCAAGTGGGAGTAAAAGAACATTCAATCACAAAAGGGTAGGATAACAAAATTAACCCAATTGAATGATGAACTAATAGATGTGAATAAGCTAGAAGGATTCAAAAGTAGTGAACGTAACGAAGACTTGTGAATTCATTCCATTGAACTTTGGAGACGACATTTGTGATTACCACCCATTAACAAATCCATAATGTACCTTAGAGATCTAAAACCCACCAAATAAAACACGCATAAAAAAATGGGGCTACCTTAGAAACTTAGCAAGTGGTATCCTCCACTTTTTAGGTCCATAAATTCGAGCAATAGCATATTCTTTGTTGTAAATCTCTGAGGCAATATTTAGTCCACCAAGATAAAGGATGTTCTCTATTGGTACTCCAACTACTGACATGTAATATTAGAGATTAGAAAACAGAACAACTGAGGAAAGCTTGTTGGGAGGAAGGGTGGGAGGTGGACAAATGAGGAAAGCAGAACCATGACATGCAAAAGGATTGCTGTTAGTTTTGTGGATTGTTGCTAGTTTTGTTATATGGATTGCTGTTAGTTTTGTGGTTCAATCAGTAGTAGATGTGGGTGTTTCCCCATTCCTTATCACATACATTTGGAATTCATTGTTTGTGGTTTACATCCCTATAGTTGAAATAGGGCACTAGGTGGAGGATACATATGGAAGCTTCTTGTTTTGGTGTAGAATAAATTATAGTACTTTGGAACAATTGAGAGATGGAGAGGAGGCCAATCTCCTTGGAGAGAATGGTAATGGTGGTCAAGCTAATAGTAGCTTGAAAGAAGTGAGAGATAGAGAGGTGGTCAATATTCTTTTAGAGAATGGTAATGGTGGTCAAGCTGATGGCTTGAATCCAATTATGGTTTCGAAACAATCCGAATTGCATAACCATGAAGGAAGTTGGGTTTTGGCTCAGCCTCCAGTTGGTGAAGGTTTTGATATAGGATTGGATGCAAAAGGGCATTGGACAAGGACTAGAGTGGCCAAGGTCAGCCTGTTGATATGCCCATTTTGGTTTCTGGGACAACTCACTTTAATCTTTCTCTAAAGTATACTATAGTTAGTCACTTTTTGTGTTTTGTATTGCCCTCTTTCTTGATTCCCAAGTGATTTTGTATGTATTGTACTAAGTTTTTTTTTTGGCTATTGTGATTGCAGTCAAATACTTTCTTAAGTAGTGCCTCCAACCTGTTCTAGGTATTGGAAATTCATTGAGAGATGACCAATCTTCTAGTACAGATTGAGCAATTTTTGTCATTTCACCATATTTTCTTGTTTTCTGTTATAATCTTGAGATTGGGTAGACTATAAATTCATGGGTGTTCATCATTTAATATTTTACTGCTATCATGTTCAGGTCTATTGGATAATGTGCTAAGTGACTACTTACGGGCCAAGGTTGTTCTTCTTACAACCATACAATGGCAATAATTGAACTTACAATTCAAGTCCCATTAGCAGTTGTNCAATTGAACTTACAATTCAAGTCCCATTAGCAGCTGTTGTGGATTAATTCACCTCGTTTCATGGATTATGTTAGAGCTACTGCTGTCATGGTTGGTTCGCACGCATTAACATACCCTCAGATACGTTTTCAAGATCAAAAAAAGCCAGTCTTGAATTAGGAAATAGAGATGTCGGTTTAACCATTCAAAATCATTTTTCATTGACGTAAAAAGATAACCATTGTTGTTTCTGCTGGTGTTTTAGAAGCCATTGGAGATGGCAAGGTTCTGGATGAAACATTTTCGGCTTGATATCAGTGCTGGANTGCTGGTGTTTTAGAAGCCATTGGAGATGGCAAGGTTCTGGATGAAACATTTTCGGCTTGATATCAGTGCTGGAGAAAGTAATTCTCCTTAGATCCATATTTGAATTTGAAGAGATAACAAACCTACCATATGCCTTCAATGGGTCTCCCTGAAAATGTCATGGAGAGTTGGCAGGCTAGTCCTTGACTCAAGTCATACACAATCAAGGAAAACCTTGTAAGTTTTAGTCATTCTGCTAAAAAAAAAGTATATATATATAAAATAAAGTAGAACGAAGTTTGAATCAAAAAAGACAAAGAGAGGTCTAGATCATTATGAGATAAAACATAAACACATCCAATGGACAACGTAATCCCAACATAAAAGACAGTTCAAATCATCGTAAAAATTTTGATCTAACGGTTTGCAGTTAGTCTTGAATTTCTTTTCCCGCCTATGAAGAAGCCTCTTATCGTAAGACTCTGCACTCTTATCTCTCATACGTCTCTATCTTAAATTTGAAAAGGCACAATAACAATTTAGATTGAATTCATTTTAAATTAAATGANTATATATATGAAATAAAGTAGAACGAAGTTTGAATCCAAAAAGACAAAGAGAGGTCTAGATCATTATGAGATAAAATATAAACACATCCAATGAACAACGTAATCCTAACATAAAAGACAGTTCAAATCATCTTAAAAATTTTGATCTAACGGTTTGCAGTTAGTCTTGAATTTCTTTTCCCGCCTATGAAGAAGTCTCTTATCGTAAGACTCTGCACTCTTATCTCTCATACGTCTCTATTTNCTCTTATCGTAAGACTCTGCACTCTTATCTCTCATACGTCTCTATTTTAAATTTGAAAAGGCACAATAACAATTTAGATTGAATTCATTTTAAATTAAATGATCTAAATGTTATATGTTAAAAGTATATTGTTTGTACCTTGATTTAGGTTGATTTTGTTTAATTTTTAATTTTACGATAAAACTTTGCATAAAATTAAAAATATTTATATTAAACACACATAAAATATATAATATCTCTAAGTATAGTGCTTTTTTTTTTCAAAGTTTGATAGTTTAACATTTGACTCCAATAACCGCATACACATCGTCACTACAACACAAAAATCAATATCCAAATGGACAATGTCACAATTTTTGGACATGTAAGTTATTTAGTATATTAATTTTTTCAAAACCTTAGGTATAATATTTCATTAAAAACCATTATATACTTACTGTATAATTTTTCATTATTTTTATTAGAAACTGATTCATACCTAGAGTACACTATAAGTAGATCTTCTTATCACGCATCTTAGTACCGATGATTGATATTTACTTCTTACTTCTTATCAATCAATGAAGTTTAAATATTCTTTATAATCCATAAATAAAATTATCAAGTTATTATTCATACAAAAAAAAAATCACTACTGTCTGAAAATCTATTGTTCTCAGAAATTTTAAAAAAAATTCAAAACCCAAGTTAATCAGCAATTAAAAAAAAATAAGATACCAATTGCACCAACAAAAAATGTTCAAAACCAATCTAATCGCTATGTGTTAAAATTATTCAAACATCCTATCTTTGTGTGTTAAAATTTTATAAGTAACATAGTGCCTTCAGGCACTAACAAATGACTAGTATATATATATATATATAATAAAGTAGTTTATAATTCAAATCTCAAAAGATAAATAAAATGATTTTTGCTATTCGCGGTTGAGATCGCTTTAAATTTTACTTTAAAGTTAATCTAACGGCTAATATTAACACCCTAAATTTAATAGGAAAAATATCTATACTACTTATAAAAGTGGCTTAAAGTGAAAAAACTTTTAATTTCCTTATTTTCCCTTTAGTAATTTTATAATGTCTATTTTATCCTTATTTCAATAATTCTCATAAATTTATTGTTTCCATTAATTTAACTAATAAATTCATTAATTGACTTTTGATTATCTTCTTTATTAACAATATCATATTGTTTCATCTTCTTAAATTAATAATGTATATAAACTTGACATTATTTGAGCTGTAATAATTAATTTAAATTTTGGATTTTTTATTTTTTTCTTTGCTCAATCTTATTTATATCTCTATCTCTATCTATCTATCTATTTATATTTATACTTATATTATACCACATATAAATGTCAGCTATTAGGAAAAACTTTTGACCAATCCTCTACTCTAAAGTCATTTTTATCCTAATTAAATAATAAAGGTTTTAAAACTAATAAATTTGGTAATAAATATTTAGAGTGCATTGAATAACATTTGCCAGAAGTTGAACCATTTCAGAATTCCATATTAGAGGTGATACAAAAGGTCAGAAACTCATGTACACAACACTAAATGAACGCTTAATACTACTTACTTACCACCCAAAAAACACTTAATATAGTCCCAAATTGAGCTTTTTCTCACTATNACACTAAATGAACGCTTAATACTACTTACTTACCACCCAAAAAACACTTAATATAGTCCCAAATTGAGCTTTTTCTCACTATTTATCTCTTGAAAACAATTGTGAATCCGTCGGTATTAGCAATACATCTCAACTTCTACGCCTGTTTGTTTTTCCTCTGTCTAATCTCTCTAATTCACCGNCCAAATTGAGCTTTTTCTCACTATTTATCTCTTGAAAACAATTGTGAATCCGTCGGTATTAGCAATACATCTCAACTTCTACGCCTGTTTGTTTTTCCTCTGTCTAATCTCTCTAATTCACCGCTACTCATCACTTCATTAACCAATAGAGAAGGAGAGGAAACTGACCGAGGGGGAGCCAGATCATCACTTGAATAGCTTCCTTCCTTTTGCTTAATTTTGGCGTGGTTGAGGTAACTGACAACACCTGCGTGGAATTTTTCACTTACATCTTGCCTTTCTTATAGTATTAAGTTGCACAGATTTTAGAAAGCGTAATGAAATTAAATTACAATTTGATATTGTTCAGACTAAAATTGAAAACAACCGAAAGATTAGCACAAATGTTATTTAGAAGCTCAGGTTTACCATTTGTTCCGTGCAACCAAAACAGTCTTGTCACATTTTTTTGTGGAATTTGGTCAAAAGATCGTGATGTTCTTTGAGTTGCTAATGATATTGGTTACACTCTATTTTATTAAAGCTAATGGGAATAGATAATAGAAAAAAGAAGTGATAGGCTTGATCTTACGAAATGATTCCGATGTGAAGAAATCTTGCTTGTGAGTTTTTGTATTCTTGTCTCTAACTGCAGTGTAATGTTAGTTTGAGTTTGGTTTCCAATCGTATATTTTTTATATCCTTGCTTGATTAGCCCATTTGGTTATTATTTATCACTTTTGTTCCAACTTCCAAGTATATGTTGTTTCTTTAGAATGATATTAAGGAAATCTTTCATTGAAATTTTTGTTGGTTTCTTTGAATCAGTGTTGACTTTAGAAACACTGAATTAATAGCATATTCTTTAAATATTTGACCCATGACTACTAACTAATAGTGGAAATCAGCTAATGACGAAATCTTTCGCTATTTGACCTTATACATGTAAACAAGATTCTAAATTTTATTTTGAAACAGTCAAAATATTTTTATTTTCATGAAACACCAAAATAAATCAGTGATTAATTGTCGATTTCTTACATTTTCAGGTTCTTAGAAGTGTTTCGGGAAGATTCAACCAATATTTCAAAAATAAATTTTAAATTTTTTTTATTCATTTATATTTCGTTTTTGAAATATTTTTGAATTATTTTCGAAACGTTTTTGTTTCTTAGGAGACCAAAACAATGCATCAAAATTAAATTGTAATCCTTCCATGTAAATTGTAAAAGTTGCTTAGTTCATATCTTTTCAGGGCTAACTAATGTTTTTCTGTCTTGTATTTCAATTACTTGCTTATTTCAAAGAATCAAGACTGGTCTTTTGCGAAATTTATCAAAACCATCTATTTCTAATTCTATTTTAATTACAGTCAAGTAGAATATAAGTAGACTTTCATGAATGACAACAATTGAAGCAGGCAACAATATTGCATAGGTTCTATGACTTATTTTATACCTCTATGCTCTTTTATTTTTTTTGCGATATGCCTTCCTTGCTTAATAGATGAGTTGCACATACATTGCTGGTGTCAACGTACTAGCAATCTAACCTATCCATCAAAATATAGGTACTTTAATTTGAATCCACAAAAGATTTTTTCTTTACCTTCCTTTTAGGACTTCTCTTATTTTTCGATTCTCAAGTTGTAGTGGCTTCCATTTTCACCTCCAGGAAAAGCCATTGT